CTAGACAAACTGTGGTAAGCGGTCACAGATAACACATTGCTTTACCTTAATGAGTCCCAGTAGTCACAACCTAAAAAGCCTTGGAACCGTGACTAACTAATTGTGCATAAACATCTCAGCTGTGAGCAAGAGAACTCTGGTTTACTGAAGCTCATCTAACACCAAAATGTTGAGCTGGAGCGCCCACAGTTTCCTCAGAGATGGATAAACGATTATCTTTCTGTGGAGTTTAATGTTACTGCTTCCTAGCTCATCCGCAGGGTACAAGCACAGTTGAATAATGCTGCCGAGGTTGTAACGGCAGAGCAGTATGACAGGTACAAGGAGAAAGTCCAGCTGTTCAGCTTCACTATGGATAAAGCGACGACTTATTGTTGGGTTCTTTCTCATCTCCTGTAGATGCGAACAATCCGCCAGCTGGACGTTTAATTTTTAAACCTCCTTTCATCTAAAGTCTGAAAAGCTTTGACAGAGAGTATTTTATGCTGCTCAACTGACAGTAAAGTAAAAATAAAACAGGAGGGTCGGCCTTGTCTTAAACAGCAATTCTAAAGAAGTTCTGAGCTGCTGTGTCTCTCTACGCAGGCAGACTCGCTCAAACAGATGGAGGTGAATCGCTTTCAGTTTCCCAGCTAACCAGGCGATAATTGAACAGGGACGCTGGAGTTGAAACTGAAAATGTTCCAAATGGGACATATAAGCGCTGAAAGGTCACTGCTTTAAATCCACAAATTGCTTTTGTGATGTGTTTAGGAACAGTAGCTACTATCAGGGAATTGTTTGACAGCACAGCAGCTGCTCAGCACCCTGCAGGAGAGCCTGATGTTCAGATGACTTTCCCCAGTAAATAAAGGTCACAATAACACACAGAGGAGTCAGCTGTGAACTCGTCCACATGCATGTATTCTGTTTTTAAACAGATACACATTGGCAAGTTGTCAGCTGATCATCTGTTCAGTGTTACTCTTTAGAGGTGAGAGTTATGACGCCACAGTGTTAATTCATTCAATTTCAAATACAGCAGAATTGGATCCTTTAAATCTACAAACACTTCACTCGCAGGTTGTCTCTGTTTTACAAACTTGCACGATACAAAGAAATGCTACGATTTGGCACTGGGTTGCCAGGTCTGTGGTTTTCCTGCAGAATTGGAATACTTGCCTCTGTCAGTGCGCCCCAGGGCAGCTGTGGCTACAATGTAGCTTGCCATCACCAGTGTGTGAATGTGTGGATGACTGAATGTAGTGTAAAGCGCTTTGGGGTCCATAGGGACTAAGTAAAGCGCTATACAAATACAGGCCATTTACCATTTACTTTACAAGTTGCAGTTGCCATCCTGAACTCCTGTACAAGTTTACTTAAAACAGTCTTCACTTTGAGGTAAATATGATGAAGATTCGGTTGGTGCGTCAAAAGTGTTACATAACAAATGAGCTGACGTAGGTGCAGCGCTTGGGAATCATAAAACTGGGACAGTGAAAACAACTGAATTTACACAGCAAACAAACGTTTATGAGTGGCTGTAGGAGAAAGTTTGCTGAGACATATTTTGACATATGTCAAACAAAAACATGTTTATGCAATTTTATCTCTTTTCTATTTCCTCCAAAGATAAATATGGTTTTAACTTTTGAAACTTTCAGGTGATGTAAATAAGGAGTGCGATGTTTCCCCTTAGTGAGTTAGCTTTGTGCTATAAACACAAGCCCCAATATGTTTCGTTCCAAAAGTTCTACAGGGAAGATGATCATTTTATCCGGGCTGAGCTCAAGTCCAAACTTGGACGTCTCATGTTCTCATTTTCCATAGTAACAACTTTCTAAGCCACCTGGAAGAAAGCTATAAATATTGTAAATAATGATGATTGCTGACCCTTTTCAAATGTATCCTGAAAAGCAGCACATTTTCCAAGACATATTTCCTTACAGCATGCCACTGGTTGTAAATGTATTTCCTGATAGTCTTCAAAAAAAAAAAATCTATTTCCCTACTTAAAACTTGCTTGAGGTGTTTCATTTATTGTTGATGTGCGAGTCATGTGCATTAACAATACTTTTACCAGAGTTAATGTAACCATCATGTGATGGATTACTCAACTCAAGTTTCAGGAGTCTGAAAATTAATTTGTTAACGAAAAATAAAAACTAATAAATGTCGTTTCACTTAAATCTATAAAACACACCAGATCGCCCAGAGGATTGTTATTGGTCATATATAAAACTCAAATGAGAGTTTCAGCCACCCACCCACTACATTTTGATTGCTATTCTTCGCGTTTAGTGACCACTTTCAGGCATTTCTCAACATCATTACTTTAACTGTTATTACACACTTTCAGCTATGAATTTACCACATTTGTGTCTTGATAAAGTGCTAGTAGTCACACTTTTAGCCAAGAAGCTCCTTCTTTTAATTTATAATTTTAGCTACTATAATAACTGTTTATCTAGTTTTTCCAGCTACCAATTTCATTTGTTTAACTTTCTTTTTCTTTTTTTTTAAGTAATCAGTTGGTCAACAATAATATGCATAGTCACCATTGCTTATACAGCTTTCTAGTGCGATTCCTCTTTATGGTTATTCTTCTGCTTTTGTTTATTTAATTAAAGAATATGAAAACAGAGCATGAGATGTTTGAGAGAAAGAAAAAAACAAACAAACTTAATAAATTACAGTAACCAGATATACTTGGATATTAACCTAATGAGGAAATATCTATCTAAATCATAAAAAAGTACTGATATAATGAAATTAAGTTATAGGAAGGGCATTTCAAGGAGATACCATCTTTCCACTTTTCCTCAGACTGACCCTCCTGTAGTCTCATGAACCCAATATCAGGGCAAAGTGTGTAATAGACACGGCGGTCCATCATGTGTATGTCATGCTTTGCTTCTCCAAAGCATGAAATGCACAGGTGAAGTTGCATTATTAGCAGAGGGACATAGTATATCTAAAAAGCCAAGATGTCGCTCGTGACCCAGGAAGGTGTAAAGTAACTCCAGGATCAGTCTATGCCAGAAACAATTAAGCTAGGTGGCTAATATGCAGTTACAGATAAATATTTTAGTGATGTCTCTAAACGCTTTCTCGTGATTATTTTCAAGGTGAAGTAATATCATAAAATTCTTAAAGGGGGCGATATCTGACTCTGTAAATTGCAGTGCTGTGAGGTCTGGAAAGGTGGGATAAGATAGCCAAACGCTCGCCATGAAACAGAGCTTGATATTTTTCTATCTAAATGTGTTTTTAAACTATTTTGTTTGTTCATTTTTACTTTTACCTGAATATTTTAACTACATTTAACTAATAAATTCCACATATTTTTAACCAGCTATTGTATTTTTTTCATTAAGTTTGTTTAGCTAAAACCATAATGTTTTTATCCATACATGTGTTGAACTAATATTTCCAGATTTTAATAATTCAGCGTTGTAGCTTCACATTATGAATGATTATCCATAACGTGTTTTTGTAAATGGGTGAACAATCTAACAGTTTCAACTGTTTTGTTAAGCGAATTCAACTTTTTTCCACTTCGTGACCATTACTTATTTGTTTTAATCATTTTAGCAATTAATTTTGGCTGGGTCGGTCTTTTTATCTATTAACTTTAGTTGAAAGTGTTAACTTTCTTGCTCAAACACATTCTGCTCTTACCACTTCTTTAATTAAACTGTAATTTCAGTTTTTTCTTTTTTCCTTTTTGAGAAAATCTGTCCAAATACCCTCAAAAATGCGCAAAAATGCACCCCGGAGTACATGCACTCTGGTTGATAAAACAGACAACATAAAGAAACAGCATTAGTCTCACTCTCTGTGAGTTGATCTGTAGAAAACAAAGGCAGTGACAAGGTGGTAGAGTGGGGCCCCACTGTGCTGAATGCACCGAACTCAACATTTATTGATTTATTATTCCATTTCACAGCTATCTTAATGAATCCGCGGCATTAAACTGAAGAGTTATTGTCAATGACGTTTAGAGAAATGACCTATTTCATGGCTGCATTAGAAACATAATTAACTGAAAGGCTTATTTTTGTCTTTAGGTAATGATGCAGAGAAACTTAAGTAGCAGAAGAGTGAAGCAATGAAGAGCCGTGAAACAAAGGCAACAGAAGAAAAGGATGAGGGAAAAAAAAATGAAGAAGTGGTTACCATAGCAAAGCCAACATCAGCTTTCTTGAGGGCGGGGCCGTCGTTGGTACCGTCTCCTGTCACTGCAACCACCTGTCGGGTTTCGCCCACTGTGCTGTCGATGATGCCTGATCAGCAGAGTGAAACAACAAGAACCTAGTGAGTGCATGATCATTCAAAAAAAGAAGGGGGAAAAAAGTAGATCCATTTACAGCAGCTTGACTACAGGTTTACATATACACGCAGATTTAAAGCAGCTCAACAGTCTCCTGTCAGAACAAACCCACCTTTGACCAGAGTGTGTTTGTCTGTGGGTGATGATCGAGCCAGAACACGCAGCTTGGGCCAAACTTTGTCCAGACGCTCTTGTTCCACCTAGAAATGACATGTTTAAGTTTCAAATAATCTTTTTCTAGCATATAAAAATAACCATCCCAGTTGGGTACAGAGCAATAATGGGGACTTGGAGCTTCATCTTTAACTGGACAAATCTGAGCACTTTACTGGGCAGAGCAAGCAAAGCATAAGTCATAAACCTAATGCATGTGTCTGTCCTATCCAAATAAAGACAATGTCCGAAACTCCAGGACAGGCAGTGAGAGAAACAGCCAACTGCTTAAGAGTTAAACTGATTAATTGGTTAATGGGCTGCACTGATAGTTATATAAGCTTTTCTAGATTTACTGAGCACTCAAAGCACTTTTTATGCTATGAGCTGCATCCATCCATTTACACACACTCATGCAGCACTTTATGTACACAAACACTCACACACTGATGGATGCATCAGGGGCAATTTAAGCTTCACTATCCGTACAATCAGTAAACAAAGCTCTCTACCTCCCAAACCCCCAAAAATCAGCTGATATAAGCTTAATGCAGACAGATCAGTTTAACATGATACTGTTGTAAAGAGTGCTGTGTGGACGGTATCAGCTGAACAGGTAAAACACTACCAAACACAACATCTCCCTCGCTCTAATAAGATACCTATAAGATACATTAGGAAACTTAATGTTTGCTGCTTTTGTACATAAGCCTTTGGAAGGGGGTTAACTCAGGGCCGTTAGGCCACCAGAGGTGTAATGGGCTAGTGGAAATCTGGCCTTAGCAACAAAGACTTATTGGGCCATATTGACTTAATTTGGTGGTTGTTTTGAGTTCATTTCAGAGTCATTCTCTGGTCAAAGCTTCTTTTTTTTTTTTTTACTTAAATGCTCATATGAATGTTGCTTGCAGTTGGATTCTTTTTGTAGTCGTTTTACCTCTCCCTTGTCATTTCTTATTTGTTGGTTGAACTCTTTGCCCTCCAGACACAGGAAGTCCTCCCCAGGCAGCAGGATGCCACACTTAGTCGCAATGGCACGAGCAGTGTTGATGTTGTCTCCGGTAACCATGCGCACGGTAATGCCTGCACGCTGGCACTTAGAAATAGCCTCGGGTACCTGGAGGAGAGTCAGAACAAAGGGACTTGAGCATTTTCACAGTAAAAAAAAAACAAAAAACCTTGAAGATGAATGCAGAGTGACAGAAAAGATGAAGATGATTTTGAGTCTGAAACATAAGGAAGGACCCCTTGCCTTTAACCCAAATAAAAAAACTGTCACGAACATTCTGTTGGTTGTTTCTTCAGGGTCTTAAAAGATGTTAAAGAAAGAGTTTATACTGCAGCAGAGCTTGTGTGTAAGAGGTCCAATTCCAGCAGCAGCAGATTTTAGATGAGAACCACTGTCGTTGTTCTTAAACCCACCCTGAGATTCATTCATCTCGGTCTGGGAGAGGTGATAGTGACTACACAAAGGTACACAGACGAGAGAGGTGCTGACTGCTTCTTGTGCTCCTCAGGTGGTCCGACTGATATGACCAGAACCCAACAGAGGGCACATTTTTTGCTTACAAATACATACAAATGTTGCACAGTTCTCATTTAAAGTGCCTCAGCCAGGGTGCAGCATACTGTTTCCCTTCCTTAAGAATGGCTTCTTAACAGCCATCCTTCCACTGAGACCATTTCTGAGGAGGAAGTAAACAGTGGATCACCTGAACGGCCAGCTTCATCTCTCTATTCCTGTGTCAGGTCTTTTTAGGCATCCCACTTCTTTTTTTGTCTTCCGGGTCTCGCTTTTCCTCATAATTTTAAGGACATATTACACAACATGCCAAGATATGCCGAGTTTTCATCTCTTTGGGAATCAACTTGTTGGAGCAAAGATTTTCTGCTGTCAAACTATAAGATCGTTGGGATTTTTAATGGATTTGGCTAAAGAAAAGGTACAGATGTGTTTTTCTTACAGGCTGTGAGTAACAAAGTTCCCAAAGACATAATTTAAAATTGTTTTTTTTGCTAAGTTGTCTGCTATGTGTAGACACAACGCTGGTTCATTACCTGGAGTTAGTGACCTACGAATCATTCAAGCATCAAAATGCACCTGCTAAATTGCTTAAGAAACAAAAAACATTCTCTCAAAGGTTTATGTACAAGGGCTGGGCTGAAAATGAGTGAAAAAGCAGCCAGTGTCCGAAGAAAAATGTTAAAAGAGCTTCAGAAAGCCTAGAGATCTATTGCTAAAGAGCATTTTTAAAATTAGTCTGGCTCCTTTTGTAGCACAATGTAAAGAAATAATGGGTGGCTCAGGACTTTGGCGCAAGACTGCGGACACTTACATTAATTATAGTAAAATGTTGTAGGAAATGCTCTATGAATGGTCTGCATACATTACCCTTTAAGTTAATGAACCAATCAGGTTAAAAGGGGATCCTTGTGTTTCTTAACTTTCAGCACTGACTGCTTGATTTTGGGGTTACTTGCAGTTACAAAAACACTTTTTCTGAACATGAGGAGAAAAAATTATTTGTAGCACAAAGCCAAAATATTCAGTCTTGTGCCCATCACAAGTTGTGAAGAGATAAACACTGTGCTGCTGATTGACTCCTGCTGCTCTCCGGTTATTTCCATCCTGTTGGTGATCTTTGTGCTCTGACATTAAAGCAGCAGGCAGCAGCACTGATGCTTTCTCAGCTTCATTACAGGCCTCATTTAACACTTCAGAGCATCCGGACTGTAAGATCTGGCTAGGACAAACTTCGGTCTTCATGTTAGGAGAAAGTTAATGGCATGCTTAAACAAATATAACAATATAGTCAAGAGCAGCCTCTCAGATGAGTTTCAATCTCAATGAAGAAAATTTAAGCTCCCTGTTTGGTCTGTTTAACTTATTTTTGCATCATCAGAAAAAACAAGCTGCACACCACAAACTCTGATTATCCCGTAGATCTACTGATCCCTGCGTGAAGTCTGGATTATTGCAGGCAACAGAAGCAGCAGCCTCTTACTGCTGTTTAGTAAAGCAACAAAGCTATTTCCGGCGCTTTTCATGTGAACAACTGATTGCAACACTACGAACGTCTTTGAATAGGGACCTTCTGGAAGTGTGAGAAACAAAAACACACACAAATCGCACAGAGCTGTTAGCGAGAGGATAGGGAGGAGGACAGCGGGAGGTAGAAACAACTGGATTATCTGTCAGTCTGCATGCATAGACAGCTTATCAGTCCTTTTACCTTTTTTCTAGGCAAAGTGGAAATTATGTAAATTCATCTCCCATGAAAATACAATATTTATCAAGGCACTGGGATGTGACATATGACTGAATGGTAATTATGTAATCCATAATTACAGTGAGTTTCTTGTTGAATAACATCATGGTCTCTTCCTCTCTGCTCTCACTGACTGTTAGGTTATCCACACTTCAGGTCAAAAGAGGAAATGACACATCGTGAATAGAAAAGTCTTTTTGGTGAACAGCGAACATTGTTTTATGTTCAGCCTTTTTATTCGGAGCTGCGGTTTTGCATGGTTAAAACAGATCCACGATTTTATCTAAACAGCGAATCACAAACAAATCTGAACAAAAAACGTCAAAACCATATAAGACGTGAAATGGTAAGCCCATGCAATTCCATACTAACCACCACTAACCACTGAAGCTGCCATGGAAATCTATGGAAAAATGGTCTTCATATCCCTTACCCTGTGACTTCAGTATAGTTTCCTGATAAGTTTATGGTCTCAATGACTAGCTTCAAATTATGCTGATCACATTAAGAATCAGAAAAGAAGATCCCTGTCACATTTCAAAACACCAACATGGCTACGCTGAAACCATTCACCTTGGGGTTTCATAGCAGTCTGGCCAGTCGCACAGTCCTCTTTAAATATCTTCGTAAAGGGGGCCCTCTATGGTTGTCCTAATGTTTTTGTCATATACACACAAAGCGATGGATACTCTTCCAACAACAAGGTCAGTTTATTGTGCAAGTAGTGCCTATGAGCTAATACAGATCTGGCTGTCAGCAAAGAAGCCCCATCCACCTGTTACTGCTTATGAGGGGCAGCCAATGAGAGGAATGGTGGCTGCACCACAGTCCAGTATAAAAATAAATCAGGATTATTTGTGAATCATGCTAAGCTACCACAGTGGTATTCAATTGAAGTAATTTGGACCAAGAAATGTGCATTAACTTCATATTTAACTGCACACATTCTGAGCTAATGGTGGGATGGAAAGCTGGAATGGTGGCTGGAAAGCATGTTGGTGCATTTGTTAGCACTGTTACCTCACAGCAAGGAGGTTCCTGATTCAAACCCTCTGATTGGCTCGGGGCTTTCAGAGGACATTGCATGTACTCTGATGTCTTCCCAGAGTCTCAAAAATGCATGTTAACATGCGGGTTAATTTATGCTTGTTAATTAGCCACAGATGTGAAAGAATGCTTGTCTGCTTTTCTGTGTAAGCGCTGTAAAGAACTGGCAAACTGTCCAAGGAGAAGTCTTTTCCTCAGCCTATGACATCTGGGATAAGCTCTCGCCTAATTAAAACAATGAATGGAAACTCTTTTTATGACTTTAATATTTTGTTTATATGACTGCTTTGCAACACAGTGTTTTCAACAATGCTACAGAAATAAAGATTGGGATGTTTGGCCATAAACACGCCCAAAGAGGAAAGGTGAAAATGATAAGAATAAATAAGCTGTATAAAGATTCTTCAGCAGGTAACATCGTTGATTTTGAAACCTAACGGCACATTGGCCAACATGAGCTGTTAACTACAGAGAGCATTTTGATCGGTGGTGCTGTACCTCAGGTCTGACGGGATCTTCGATCCCCACCACGGCGATGCAGGTCAGTTCGTTGAGGATGTCATTCTCAGCGTCCCAGTCTGGCTCTCCAGCCTCAGCAGGAAAGTCCCTGTAGGCCACACAGATGGTCCTCAGCCCATCGCACGCCATCGGCTCAATCACCTTTCGCACCATCTCGTCACGGTCCTTGGGCTTGAAGACACGAGGCTGGCCCTGGGCGTCCAAGATACGAGAGCATCTGGGAGAAGAGAGAGAATCAGAGGAAGTGAAGGGAGATTATAAAGGTATACCAAAAAGGTTACTGTGTCCACCCAAGCAGCCATCTTTCCTCAGACTGTTTGTTCTTACTTCCTCAGGATGATCTCTGATGCTCCTTTGCTGTACATCCGGAAGCCTCCGTCAGCGTTCTTTAGCACCGTGCTCATGGATTTGCGGGAGGAGTTAAAGGTGTAAACCTTGTAGAGTTTCTCTTCGGGGACTTCATCTCTGATTGGCTGGTAGTCCCTCTTCAGCTCCAGCACCAGGCCCAGCAGAGCACATTCAGTCTTGTTACCCACATGGCGAGGTAAGCCGCCTTCTTTCTCCGGGGGCTGAGGAGCGAGAAAAAGTTTGGAGGTGCTTAAACATGATTAAAGTTACAAGCAAAGCGGGTCACTAGGAACATCCAGCGGTTCAGGTTTGTTTGATGTTTGCTGGTTCAATCAGAGAAGCTTGGGCTCCAGAATTAATCAAATTTTAATCATTTCATTGGGTCTATACGCACAAAACAAGACCATCTGAAGAACACAACGCTTCTGTAGCTGCAATTCAGGTACATGTGCAGGTTAACAGTAACTGTCAGTCATGTTGGTGCCAAAAACACCAACAGGTATTTTAGTTCAATTATAGTATTAAACCTGAAACAGGTTTAATACTATAATTTAAAATCACTTAACACACATGGTGACACATATCTAATAAATTAATATAATAAATTATATCAGATAAATGATTTTAATTAAAATGTTAGTATTCATTTTTCTTGACTTGACATGAGCCAGCGTTAGCTTGGGTTTCAAGTCCAATATGAACACAGCGATGTACTAGGAGATTTTAGAGCACTTCATGCTTCCATGTGAGGACATGCGTTATGGAAATGACAGTTTCCTTTTCCAGCAGGAGTTAAAACCTACACACAGTGCCAAAACCGCTACCAAACGGTTTGTTGGCCATAATTTTACTCTGTTTGATAAGCGAGCCAACTCCACTTACTCTGAATCTACGGGGATATTGTCAGGGAGAAGAATGTCCAATATAAAAAGAGCTGAAGGCTGATATCAAGCACTGCGGGCTTCAGTGACACCTCAGCAGTGCCACAAGCTGATCATCCCCATGCCACACCGCACTGATGTTGTAATTCGTAACTTGAAAAGCATCCAGTGTGTAAATGACCATAAATTTCAGACACCAGACATTTCTGTATTGCCATAATCATCAAAATGAAATTTTAAAAAAAGGCTTTATATCTAACATATACAAAATATATCAGAGATTACTTTTTTGAGATATTTTCATTATCTGACTACCTCTTGTTTTCTCTGTCATGATGACACTCGCTATAATAAAACTATGGACTACCAAACACTAATAACACTACATACTAGTCTACATACTGTAATAAGAATACAGTACTTTGATCTGTAAAATGGATGGTTACTGTATGTAGGTAATGCGTTACCACTTTCTGCTTGGGGTGTGGACGATAAACAGAAGGACAGAAAGCTCCCGGAGCGAATGCTGCTCACATTTATGCACACCTGAAGCCAAATTTTCAGAGTATGGCAAAGTTGTATGTTTGTGAAGAATGCGATCAACAGTTTGTATTGGCTCATAAATATACACTCGATATAAGAAGGGATGATGCTGAATCTCATTCATTAGATTGTGCTCAGATTTTTCTGGTATGTTCTTTGCTTAGATGTTTTTTCTCCTGTGTAATCATCAGGAGAAAGGCACTCATGTTGCAGTTTATATGCTTGTCAGTCTATACTCATAACTTGCGTAGTGAAGACTTCCATTAATAAAGCATTTATCACAGCACAGCTTCTTTCTTTAACATAAATGAAATGTTAGGCCCATAAATAACTGAATATTCTCTGTTTATTATTATAGATGCTCCAGAGCCAAATAATTGCATTTGGAACACCTGAGTGTCACTATTTGTCGATGTGATAGTTAAAGACTCACCAGGATCTTGGTGGTGTACGCTGAGTTGATAGAGATGCTGTTGACCATTATTTCCAAAGTATCCGGCTTGATAGCATCTGGTTCTGGGACAGTCTTGTAGTGCGTATCGCCGATGTATGCCTGCACCACTGTCATCCGATTCATAGTCAAAGTACCCGTCTTGTCGGAGCAGATAGCCGTGGCGTTGCCCATGGTTTCACAGGCGTCAAGGTGACGCACCAGGTTGTTGTCTTTCATCATTTTCTAAGGGATGGACGATGAAGGTGCACTCATTAAAACCTCAGCGTCTCTGACATGATTTTGAGAGGATTCTATTAATGTTAAATTTACATAATTCCCTCCTGCTCACCTTGACAGAGTAGGCCAGAGAGATGGTGACAGCAAGCGGCAGCCCCTCAGGGACAGCGACGACCAGAACTGTCACACCGATGATGAAGAACTTGACAAAATACTGAATGTAAATGGGGGTGCACTCAGCTAACCACTGCCGACCCTGGACCCCAAAGGTGTCGATCACAAAGTAGAGGATGAGGATGATAACTGTCACCGCTGACATGATCAGACCTGGGTGGAACAAGAGCAGTTTTCCATTAAAGTCAAGTAAGCTTTTTTTAAGGGTTTTAAGGTTTCTACAACACGTATCTTTAAACCTTCAGTTTCAATCCTTTGGGACTGAGGCTGTTCTTTTGTTGCTGTGTTCCCAGTTTCTATGGACTCCTGTGTTCCTCCATCTCTGCTAACTTGTTTAGTCTCTGTCTTCATGTAATTTTGTAGTTTACTTTCAAGTTTTTCATGTACCTGGTTCTAGTTTTACCTCCGGCTCTTTCCTCCTTTGCAACTGTTTTTCTAGCACTCATTAGTTTTACCTGTCTTTAATTACTTTCCATTGTTTCATGTAATCAGTCTCTGTCTGTATATAATCTTGTCTTTCCATAAATCCTGTGTTTGACATCTGGATTCCTGTTTTATTTACTCCTTTGGGAATTATGTTTACCATTTTCAGCTGTTAGTAAATAAAGGCTAATTTTTTTGTTAGCATGCCTATCTTCTCTAACCATTTTATGTCATGTATGATGTTATAATCTTGGTGATCCAATACCTATTATCTTATTTTGTATTCAGCAACTTATACTCACATTTTAAATTGACTTACTTGACTGATCTGCACTTCTTGTCCACATTTCATACTTTTACACATTTTTTCTTAGCAGAAGACACGTCTGCAGTGACAAGTGCACGGGACTGTTAATGTTTACCTTTAAATGCTTAATTTAATGACATTGTGATCATTATTTGAGTGACGACATTTGTGTGTTGAAGAACACTGTAAAGGCTTAGCTATTAACAGCCCACCATGACTGTGTCTGCAGCGATTAATGACACTTGTTCAGTGAACCTATTCAAGGTTGTTAAGGTTAATAAAACCAGCGTTCCTGGAACGCAGTGTGTCTTAACTCATGATGGAAATACAGCTGCTCAACTTCAGCTTTCTAAAGTTGGTCAATCTTAGTGCATTTTCAGATTGTAGTCCCCATTATTTGCTCAAAAAAAATCCACTGAGAACTGACGTTAAAAGTATCCTTAACTTAAACTATCTTTTTTTCTGATTTCCTGCCTCATTGGAAAGGCCGGAATGTCCTCTATTGAGCACATCAGTAGGGTAGCTCAAATAAGTCAAAAGATATAGACCAAAACCAAATGTCCATTACAGAGGACATTTGGAGACTATGGCTTAGTTTATTAGGTTTACGTGACTTGTCCACATTAAGTACTGCAGATTCAGTCACATTCAAGTTATTAAAAACCTTCTTTTATTTAAATTAGCATTTTTTAAGCAAAACCAACCTGGCATTTTTCACAGTGCTGTGGCAGCACTTTTCAGATCTCTTGTGGTGCTTTTAAAGATGATCTGATGAGCAGTCCTGCTGAAGACCTGCTGGCAAACTCTCCCTGTGGTCTAGCCCTTTGGGAAATATTTAACCACACTGTCCCCAGTCTGATGCTACTACAAAATAATTTTGATTGCATGTCATCCCCTTTGCTTTCCATGTCTCTGTTTCTATAGTCAACTACCAAAAGAAAATACACTTTAATCTTTAATTTATTTACGCTTTGGTGTCTAACTGCACTGATTCCGGACTGCCAGCACTTGAATATGTCTCGCTTGTAAAAAATTGAAAGGTGGTTAAACTATGATATTTAATAAGGCAGTGAAGTCTGGATGCCTGTAACCAGACAACATCCTGAATATCAAACAGGTGAGGGGAAGTAACAGAAAATTCCCGTTTGTGTTTCTGTACTTCATCTCTCCTGTCAGTCACCTCCAGTCAAAGTGTTTGGCCCAAATTCTATTTCTGTTCGGTAATGATGTCCTGAAAACCCCTTGGTGTATTAAGGTCAATTGAAATGACACAGAAAATGCTTTCAATTCCGGGATGAATCGTGTCCCCAATAAAAAACATCCATCCAATAGAACTGAGTGCATTTTGACCCTCAGCCTCTTGGTCCCTGCGCTGCCTGATCACTTTGTGTGCTATTAGAGGGCAAGTCACACTTTTTCTCAAATGTCGTCTTTGTGAGAGTCATGTAGCAGCATAAGTTTCATTTATATGTATCTAATAAAGAGACTTGTTTAGGATCTACTAGCCTGTAAAGAAATAAAACTGCAAAGATCCTCTTAGTGTAATCAAAAAGAGACAAAACTGCCTTTCCAATAACTTCAGATATGTCTGATGTTGAATCAATCCTGTAGATATCTGGGTTGAACTAACAGTACAGTCAAATTCAGGCACCTAATAATGAGTAGGATCACATAATAAAACAGCCAGTTCATTTTATTAGTGATTCTGTACATTTTATGCTTTATTTATCAGTTTTGACATCCTTTGGTATTGTGACTGCGTTGAACTGCAGCTGGAGACTCACCGCTTATAGCTGTAATATACTGATAACATTAACTAGCCTTCACAGAGGCTGGCAAGGCGATGCCGTCAGACATGATCACAATGTTTACTTAGCTCAGGGCACTCTGAACTCTTTTGGCAACAGAGCTGATTTAATAACTCTGGCAATCTCTTACATTTTTATTTAACACCATCATTCAGAGGCAGAGCAGTAATACTTAACGTATGACTCAGGAACCAACTCAGGATTGCCACAGGACGTTGGCTGGCCCACAGACATTTTATAATTCACTAAATAAAATCTACTGAAGGGGTTCCAGCTATGTTTAATGCTGTACAGAGTCCTTCAAAAGTAACCAATTCAATCAACTGCAGCTAAAACGCAGCAGCAGCAGCTTCCAAATATGGTAAAATGAATGACTTGTCATTCTGGGCGGGTATTCAAGTTAATATAGATAAGAAATAAGGAAAATATAGGAAAATGTTAAATATTATGTGAATACAGAAAACTACCACAACACTTTGTCTTCCTGGCGAAGTAACACTTTAAGTTTATTCTTCTAAATGGCAAAAAAAAAACAAAAAACAGACCACTGCATATCAACTGTAAGCTTTCATCAGGGTCTGATAAACACATAATCAGTGTGAATTAAATTACAGTAATGCTAACACTTGTGTGGAGGAGATTACCCGTAGGTAGTGCTATGGGTAATCTCCATCACAATTGTTTGCTTGTTTAATGTTTATTAACCAGCCTCTGGTCTCCAGTGATTGTGCAAAAGTGGTCCTCAGACAAAGCAGCGCGAGTATCCCTGTTGTAGGCTCCCAGCAAAAAAAAAAAAAAAAAAAAGAAGACAAAGGAGAGAGGTCCCATCAGAGTTTCACAGTAGTTTAAAAACTCAAATTACTGACATTCATTTGTGGCTGTTAAAGTATTCTTAATAATCAGTTAAAGTTAAACCTCAAAATCTTTTACAAAACTATTAGCTTCATTCATTTTGGCATGTCTCTTTAAATGTGGTCTACAAAACTGTGCTGACTCGACTTTTACGTTTTTGGAAAGTGAATTAAAAAAAATAAAAATACTCCACCCCAGGTTGAAGCTAGACCAGCAGATTCCCCTCAACCGCCAGCCTTTGTTCTAAGCTAGGTTAAGATTGTTCGTGTGTGTGCGCGTGTGTGTGAGCTACTCACCAGCCTTCCCAATCTGCACAGCTAGTCTGGTCAGTTTTCCCTGAAGCACAGACTTCTCCTTCTTGGTAACATTGACCTTTTTCACTGGTTTGACCTCTTCCTTCTCCTCAGACTCAGCGGCCTCTTCACTCTTCAAAGGCTGTATCTCCAGAGCAATGCCATCCTGGGTCTTGGCTGTTAGGATGGAGGCGGTAAAAGGAGGAAGCGGAAGGTTTTACGGGGAATGACAGAAGGAAGGAAGTAGGGTTCGAGGTGGTGAGTAAAGACAGATGAGGACAGACAGAATAATGGAGAAAATTGATGGTAGTTGGAAAAGGAGGAAGGTTTTGGATGGGAGCAAAATAAAATTTGAATGAATTAAATTGATGTTTAATTGGCAACAAAATAAAACACAATGAGGGAGCAAGGTTCAGGAGTGGTTAGGGGATGAAGGAAGAGAGGCAGAGAAAACGTTACAGAATCAGTCTGAGGGAAAGCTGAAAAACGACAGGACGAGTTTTCTCAGAAAACAGAAACACCTCTGACTCCTAATCGTTACATGGTGAACCTTTGGCTGAATGCAGAGAGCAGCATTTCATCGTTTTATGATCACACAACATTCATGATAAAAAGGTCCAGGTAGCTTTCAGAGAGTGTCACAGACGAGTTGGGTGCAGCAGTTCATAATGAAGTGCAGCAGACAGAACAGAAAACAGCAGATACAACAGTGAGGATTTAACACGGGGCTGTCAATCACACACAATCACACGCACAATCACGCACACATACAGTTTGTTTGACATCAGAGCTCCGAGTTTGAGATCTGAAGTCTGATGTGCAGTCTAGCTTCGCGTCCTGCTCGACGGCTCTGCTCTGCATTTGCATAAACAAACTGTGTATTTGCATTTCACTTCATCAGCTGTGATCCTGTTTGGACTGTAGTAATGTATGTGGAGCGTTTGTGATCTGTTTGATCTCTGCTCACAGCGCATTCAGCTCCGCTCGCTCCATCCGCTGTTTGTCGTATTTCCATACCAAAGAAATATGAGCAGGTGATGAACGAAAACAAAACAGAGCTTCTCTAATCTCACACACTGAGGTTTGATATTTGTCCTCATGAACGACTGAGCTGACAACTCTGACTGGATGATTTTATCTGAAAATTCCTTCATTTCCATGTCATGTTATTCACAATTAAATACTGGAAATGCTCTGCTGGGTCAACAAACTGGGGCAAAATTACTCAAATTTACAGCTATTCAGACTGACTGCTGGTAAACATTTCAACATCAAATATGGAACCAACATTTCCAACAAATCGTGGATATAAAGCAAGTTAGACAGATGACCAGAAAGTAACAAGTACTCTTGTATTGCTAAGGTTATAGCTCTACTGCTGTGAAAACATAACATTTATTCAAATTCTGAATTTTAGTTAAAAAAAATATTCAATGGAATGAACCAAAGGAAAAAACAAAACAAAAAACAATCCAACAATAATAACGTGAACTGGAATGAGGAGTAAAACCATGTCGTCCAGTTTTGCTTCACTTTTGCAGAAAGTTTCAGCAATAAGTTTGAAAGAAACTGAATTAAATCAAATTGAGATACTGAGCCTCAAGCAAGAACCGATTTAAATGTTTTTAAGGGAATTGATTCTGTTTTTCCTTTTTTCTGTCAAATATACAGTCAGTTTGCGCATTCCTGTGAAGTACACCCTATAACTCAGCAGCTTTAGCATTTCACCGTGTGACTTTATCAGCTTCTCACATCGTTGTGGAGTAATTTTTGCCCACTCTTCTTTAAAATGTTGTTTCAGTTTATGCACTTATTCAGTTTATGAACTGAAGTTGATGTTTGGGATCATTTATTTATACACGTCTCTTAAGTATTTTTCAGTCAGGTTAAAGTCTGGACTTTGATTGGATCATTGCGGCAACCTGAGTTTTTCCTTTTTCAGCCATTCTGTTGTAAATTTACTGGTCAAGCTTTAGCCGTCAGACTGATGGCCTCAGATTTAACTTTGGAGTTCACAGTCGACCCAGTGACTGCAAGGTATCTGAGAAAAACAAATCCTCAGCCCTCCACCACTGTGCTGACAGTTGGTATGAGGTGTTTGTGCTGATCTGTCCAAATGTGGCGCTGTGATTCACTGCCAAACATCTCCATTTTGGTCTCATCTGTAGAAACCTGCAACAGTCTTTTTTTCCTTTTTTGTTTATGCAGATTAACTTTGAAATTCTTATGACTGACTGACATAAATCCTGGTATTAGCTGGTGAGAAAAGATGATGTTTGAAATGTGTTGTATGTATATAGTGAGAATCTGAGCTCAATCTAACAAAAAAACTGAAGATTTAAGATAGAAACATTAAAAAAGTCCCTGCATGAGGCTCCTTGTCTTTAACGGCTATATTGCCTTCTAACCTGGGTAAAATGAAAGAATTTGCATGCTCAACAAAGCCAGGAGTGTCGCCCTAACATGTTTTTTGTCTGACCACTTTTATCCACTCCTCAGTACCACCACCTTGCTCTGAGTTTCATCAGGTTGTTAATGAGAAACCCCCGACACAGATTATTTCCAGAAGGGAAGTAATTTCACAACAGCACGACCTCAACAAGACATTTAACATTCTGGATGTGGGGATGGGTCGGTGTTAAACCGGGAAGCTGCGGAGCCTTATGCACATAGTCCACTCTGAAGACAAGCCACAACATAGAACTAACTGACACAGCTTCACACGAACAGGACTGAGACCCACTGACCAACCACAGAAGTGTAAACAGGCGCAGCACTGAACCATGGGAGAACGCACGGCGAGCAGAGGGGAGGGGGTGTCTGACAATCAAAAAGTAAAGCAAGTCAACAAACAGAAGATGAACTCAAAGGATCACCCCAAAAAAATGAAAAACAACAGCGATGCAGAACCACGACAGAGAGAGACAGGAGGAGGTAGTGGAGGCTGCAGAGCTATGGAGGCTGCAGGAGACTTCAGCAAGACAAAAAGGAACAGAGGAGAGAATCAAACAGTGCCTACAAGACAACATGAAGTCCTGAGCAACGCCCTGCGAGGAGGCAACAGTGAGAGAAATGAGAGGAGTCAAAAGGGAAAAAGAAAACAAACTGAGGATAATACACAAACAGAACAGACGACAGCCCACAGCCCACTGATACTGCAAGGGTGCAACTCCCACATCCTCGCTTCAGCGCCCCCACCCGCAAACCCCCCCGGCCATGTCTGTTTTCCCTCAATACTGCCAAGAGAAGCTTACATTGACCACAGCATGTTAAAATGTGATTTAAAAAACAAACAAACTGTGGGGTATTTTAAAGGTGAAACATCAGATTCTCAGATCCTTCTTTTGCTGCTGCACTTCCTGCACAGATGTTTCACATTAAAAGCTTTCCAACCGCTCAAGGGACAAACACCCACGTGATATTAAAGTGAAACATCTGCAGGAAGTGTTGTGATACAAAGGGTAAAAAAAAAAAAAAGGAAAAGCAATTATTAAATAAATGATAAATAAACTATATTAAAAATTAAATCTTTAGGTTTTAAACTAGAAACAAGCTATTATGAGATGTGACCTCAAAAACGTGCAATGGGCTACTTAATCAAAAGACAAGGGTTAGACACCTTTGTCAGCCCATTTGTGGAATCTGCACCTCCCAAGACACCTGCAGTATAGGGTGTCACCACCATAGACAGTATAAAAGATGGTAGCAGCTGACCAGTCTAAATAGTGCCCAAGTGCATCAAACATGCATTACTTTTACTGGCCAGTAGGGTGTGCCTCCTCTGGTTGCAATAAGACTTTAGGTTGTCTAGAAGAAAACAACACTCGGCTTGCTCGCACTCTGACCTCAGTAAAAACTTTCCATATGACTTTATGGCTCCACTGCTACTTTCAGGTCACACTGAAGAAAACAGGAAGTTCATTTCATAACTTATGGTTGGAAAAAATAAGCGGCTGGAAACATGACTGATGGGAGAACTGGGGCTATTTCACGTAGTTAATGTGCTGCAAAACTTGGAGCTAAAAAAGGTGGTGACAAATGCATTCAGGGCTTTAAGGTTCATAAAAATGAGCAAAGATGTACCTAGAAATGTTGTCCAGCTTGTGTTTTTCAGCGGAGGTCGGCTGTGACTGCAGCACTGACTATAATTTCCGTGTGAAAAACAGTGATGAGCATCCAAAAGCTGTGTGTGCGTCTTTCTCTGTACATGAAGAAGCATTCTGTCTGCAGCAGATGCTTTAACCATGGGAGGTCTGGATGAGGGGAGTGTGTCGGTGTGTGCGTTTAAATGTGTGTGTGTGTGCGTGTGTGTTTGCTGAGACAGCTTGCAGAGGAAGCTGGCCATGTGCTGGAACACCCAGGACATGGAGGGCATTTGGCTGATTTTGGAGGTTGCCGCAATGACGTCATCAGCAATCTCACACACAGTCATTAAACCCATTAAACAAGGACACCTCAGAGGTCAGAGCAGTATGTTAGGAGTTAGTAACCCTCACTGATGGTCTCGCAGCCCAATTCTGACCGTGAACTGAGAGACTCTGATGAGGGGGAAAAAGGTGTTTAGCAAGCACATGACTTACATTTAAGAGATTAGTAATAACCGTTCAATGTTTTGTTTTTTTTCTTTCAAACAGAAAATAGCGATAAAGATCCCAACAGTTGTATAAGTTAGTTTGCAAAGTGCACACTGATAACATTTACAAATCAGTAGTGCTTCCATGTTTGTTTGAATATTATGAAAACAACCTAACTTGTTTCTGCAATTTAACTTTTTTTTTTTTTTTAGTGTGAATGTCTGTTGAATGTTTTGTGACATTTAAAGATTTGCTGACCAAACAAGAATTAATCATCATTTGAAGTCCTAGCTCGTTAGTCTGGCTAATATTTAATAACAGGCCTTCTGCAGGCGATTAACCATTAGTGTGTCTCCTTATAGACATAATATATTAAGTAAATCTGAATGATTACTAATTGATTGTTGTTTTTAACATTATATACTTCTGTTTCTTGTTGACTCTTGTGTATGCGTGCACTTGAAGCTTGCAGGCCTCGCTTCTGTGTACTCCTTAGCAACAGGTGTCACCACAAAAACATGCCAATGGGTGTGATGTCACTTTTGGTACACGTTCCTGTTGGCTAGTGCAACAATGAACTTCCTGTAAGTGATCATAAATGACTTGTATAACCCACGTCTTATTTTTGTTTTGAGTGCTACAAATAAACGTGATTTACACAAAGATAACCACTACACTCACATTTTTAAAAATTTCCCTGTGGCTGATTTCTCACCCAAACATAAATCATGTGCTTCCAAAAAACATGCCCTGCTTTCAGGGTTGAGGCATTAATGCACTTCTACAGGGCGACCGCAGACTCGGCTGTTAGAGACTTGAAGGTTGAGAGTTGCACCCTTGGACAGGTAAAGCAAGGCGAGAGAACGTCCCCCTTTATACAGCAGAAAGAGAGAGAGAGGGAGAGAGATGGACTGGACACTCCCCTCCTGCCGCTGGGTGAAGGGTGAGGAGTGGGTGAGTAACAGGGAGGATGGAGGGACAAAGCGGGACAGATGGATGAATGGAGGGGTTACCTTTGTTGCGATTTTCGGGGGGTCCTTGTTTTTTACCTGTTCGGACAGAGAGAGAGGGCGGAATGCTGATAAGATGGCTCAAAGGAAAAATAAGATCAAATCAAACTGAGGGACAACACAAAGTTCAAACTGATAGAAACCCACAGGTGTGTGTGTGTCGTGTGTGTGCCGTGGGCAGGAATGGACGAATCAGAGGAGAGAGACACACGACTTCCCGCTGCGGAGAACCGATGGCCAACGAAATCTAAAGTTTTAAAAATATTCATCAGAAATTTAAAATGTGGTTTAAAAGTAATCAGGCGATCGATTTATTTGTACTTTCCTGAAGCTCTGCATTACTCTGTTTCTATCATTTATTGTGAGAAGGTAGACCTTTCAGGAAGTTGTCTGTCTGTTTTTGAAATGACACTGAATTCATGTTATTGATCATTACAATACAATAACATGCAAGACCCACTAGTGTGCTCGCTTCTGTATTTCACTTCACTTTATGCAGTGTGAATTCATCTGTACCAGCACACTGTGGCCTCTTTTAAAAGGTGATGCTTCACATGGTACATAACATTGTTAATATGATACTTTATCTAAGCTTACTGAGGTTTTGTTCATTATGTACATCGTTAAATAGACTGCATGTTGGTCTGTTCTGACACATTCTTGTAAGCTGCGTTATTTTCAGATTATAAAATATAAAAATATATATATAAAAAAATAAGTTGATATTATGGTCATTTATTTATCAGAGTGTGGATTTTTAAAATTTTTTTTACTTTAAAGTGGAACGTAATGAAAAATGTTAAGACTCAATTATTTCACACAATTATTGAAGGTTGTGTGATGTGAATAATCAAATCTATGTTAGCACGTTCACCGCATTGATTTGTTTCAGTACTGCCTCAAAAGGCTGCCAGCACAGCTGCAGACGCTGTGATAAACAGTGACCACGTTTACATTTTATTTTGAAATTCGTTCCTTGTTTGAGCAGAAAGTGAGAGTTAACAGAAAGCTTTGTTTTTTAGGGCACTCCCTTTGTAGAGTGGTTGTGAGATGCTCTGACATGCATCAAAACATCATTTTATTTTTGTCTGCTGATTTTCTTGAGGTCTGATTTTTTTATGTGACTAACAATGCGTTCACTTCCTGCCAAGATGCCGTCTGTGTATCCTCATTATGTGCATGATGTTCTGTGGCGTTGGTGCCCCGAAGAGCCAGCCAAGGCAGTCTTGGAGATAATGTTCCCCTTTTATATCCCTAATGGTCCCCTTTTAGAAGACTTTTAGAGGATAGCAGTATGGCATTGATTTTTCTAATCTTTTATTGACTTTTTACTTTTGCTTTCATTTGCTGGATATGTATATTTTTGTTTATTTATTTATTTTTTCAGATTTAATCCTCAAAAAAGTATTTAGGCTTAGGAAAGCGTTGCAGTTTGGGTTAGAAGCTGCATCTTTATAACAGTAACCGTGCACATGTAAAGATAATGACTTGAGAGTTACAGTCACTCTCACTAGTGCTAAAACTCAGTGTGTCAGGGAACACATGACAACGGACACTTCAAATTCAAATTCAAATTCATGCCACATGCCAAACACATGCCAACGGACACTTTGTGTGTAAACGAGCCATTCCAGTGGCTTTGACTAAACAGCACTAATTGATGCCCTGTGGATGAAACTGGGCTGTCTGAACTGGACTGCTGAATCTCTAAAAGGGATTTTATTCACCCCAAAAATGACTGAAAAGCTAAACACATGGGCTGATGCTGTCTCTGAAATTGATCTTAACGAGGTGTCATGTACTGATTAGACACAATAAAGCACATCACAGGTGAAGTGCAGGTCAGGTACGTTTTCCTGCTCATAGGAAGTTACCTTCCTGCTGCAGTAAAACTAAGCTGTCTGCTTTTATTATGAAAGGAACTTTGGCAAGGTCAGAGCTAAACAACGCACACACACACACACACACACACACACACACACACACACACACAGAGCTCTTTGTTATTCAGTTGGTGGCTTGTTATCGAGAGTGAACTGGTTCGAGTATGTGTGTGTATGTGTGCGTTTGCAACACTGAAGGCTTTTATCCCCGCAAGATAACTGATGGCTGTGACTTGACACGAATGCATGAATGTGTGCAGTGCATGTGTGCGTGTTTACGGCGGATTGATGCAGCCATGTGTGACAGTGAAGTCTGCTGTGTGTCTGCTGTTAAAAGAACACAGGAACCTCATGACAGTGCCTCCGTGTGTGTGTGTTTGTGTGCGCGCTTCTATCTTTGCGAGGATTCACTTCCAATTTGGAAAATAAGGGCTTTTTTTTTTTTTTTTAAGTTAAGATCCCTTTTGAAAAGTCTGAAAATATCAAAGCAAGGACTTGTTCTGAAAAGTGATGACACTTCTCACTTCAAAGACTTTCTGAGGGTTTGTGCTTTGTTTCAGCATAAGGATTAGTAACACATTTTAAGATTAAGATTAAAGCTTTGACAATGTAAACATGGAAGTAACGGCCTGTGTATGAGATGTAAATGTAAAGGCTCTTTTCTTTAAAATTTAGAATTTACTTTCAGCTGAATCTGTTTTGTGGTTCTCCTCATTAGGAAGCCAGCACCAATTTTGTTTTTGTCTGTTTGTTTGTATTTTTTATGAACCATAAACTGGAGGCCGAAATGCAAACCTGAGCGTCTCTCTCCGCTGAGCTGGTACATTCAGCCAGTTCACAATGAATGCCTGACAAACTCAAACTTTAGCCAGTAAAACAAAATGATAAGACAAAAACAAACTAAAGGAAAAGGATACATGTGTAAAAGGGGGTTAGCATGATCACAAGCAAATCAAAAGCAATAGAGACCGACTGCAGAAGCCTGTTGTTTTACATCTGCTCTGACATAGTACAAAGATCATCTGGACGTTGGCTTTTGAAGGGTCCCTCTATAAAAGAAGCAACTGTGTTTCACAGTTAATTGATATTACGTAACTGGCCAATTTACTCAGTACTGTGGCCATGAATTTACATGAATAAATGAGACCACGATGAGGTGTTTGCTCAGGTGACCAATCAATCTGTCTTTGAGTCTTTGTGAAATCACAGTTCAAAGTGTTGCTTTACTGAAATATTAACAAAGATTGTTTGCAAGCCCACGACAGAGAACAAAAGTTTAAATGGCCTATCAAGATTCCCATCAAGCACTTGAACATAACAACTGAATAATGTTAAAAATTCAAGTATTTTTTAAAATTTTACATCTGGGGTGTCAAGCTCATTTTAGCTCGTAGGCCACATACAGCTTGATTTGATCTTAAGTGGGCAATTGCAAACCATTGCATAACAACCTCTAAAGTGCTCCCTTTCTTTTAGTGTACAGAAGTACATTCTGCACACTTTCCTGTTTAATGAACCGTCCACTTACAAATGACAGCTTGACGTGACTGAAAGTGAACCTATTGTGCTTTTTTGAAAATATTTTCTGCCATATGTCACATAATGGTGGATTCTCTTATTAAACATGGCAAACGTTTCAAATAAAGAGGTCCGTATATCCTTGAGTAATTTCTGTGAGCCAAAAGTTCAGGCTGTAGTGTGCTCTGAATGCTTGATTTCATTTTTTCTACTTTTGGATCTGTATGATGTGAATAAGAGAAGATATATATAATATGGTCTCCTCAGGCACACAGCTCCACCTGTGAGCACGGAAGCCCCACCTACCCGCTATTCAAACCTGTTCAATGAGCAGCCAATCAGATGGAGTAGCTAAAACAGCTTGTTTGAACTGAGGTGCTGCACCAAGGACCATTAAAATATCAATAAGCGTTATCTTCTAACTGAATCATGTAAAGCTATTTTGAGTCCAAGAATTATGTTCGACTCCTCAACAGCCTCCAAACTCTGGAGATTCATCTAGTGGGCAGCACTGAGTCCTTTGAAGGACTGGGGCTGTCTGCTTAACTTACAGAATGAAGTAGGCTATAATGATCCATGGATATAATAGCCATTTATCCCCTTAAGGATACATGGTCACATGCATTTCTTTGAAATGTAGCTTTGGGTACAACCATAGACTGTATATAAAAGAAGGACAGAGCAGAAAAGTGCAGCTAGTGCAGCATTTTTCAAATGTCCAGCAAGAGGTGACTGTTTGCAGACGTCTAGGAAGTACTTGTCCTCAGTACTTGTCTGATGAAGCACATTTAACATTTCTAGCCTATGACATCGCGATATGTTTCTGAATCAGCTCCACCTCACATCATATCCTGTTTGTAATCACCAAGATTGTCATACCAAAAAAGGTCAGCTCAAGACTTCAAAACAGGACTTTGCTAATTCATCTTTTATATACAGTTTAAGCTAATTACCTGGTCATAGCAAATTAACTATAATCTTACAAACTCTTTGGAATCGGTCACTAAAAAGGTGTGCATGCCACTTTAAAATTACGATAAGCTAAGTTTGGTAAGATTGTGGGAGCTCCTTTGTAGACGTCACTTTTATTTCACTTGTTTTGGGCCGGTACAATCACAATATTACTCATCTTTGGTCTCGTGTATTCACTATGGAAGGTTTTTGTGCTTAGATTGAAGTTAAATTAAGCTTACAGATCACATTCAGACCCTTCAAAAAGCTCTGCTGTTATCAGCTCAGACTGGATGAACTCTACCTGCTGACAGAGTCGGCTGGTACGACAGGAGAAACGTCAAATCAACACCAGCTGATAAAAACGGGCAAAATATTTCCGATCAGCCTGTTCAGAAATATTCAGAAGCTGACACGGTGACAGTCGTTCTAGCCAAACTTTCCTCACACTTCACAGACTTACTGTCCTCGTATGACCTTCCACACTTCAACATATGTTGTGTTTCTTGACATGTGTGACAGGCTTTGTCTCATGTCTTACTTTTCTTGACCTTCTTCTCTTCGTCGTTCTCGCTGGCGCCCAGCAGAGTAAAGATGATGCCTGTTTGAGAGTTGAGGCCGACAGCTGACACCACCATCCTGCCTGATCCCTCCATCACGTGGGTCCCTGAGGAAATATTCAAAAAGCTACGAGTCAAAAAAGAAGCTTTATTTATTTTTTTTTTTAAACTGTTACTGTGTTACTGTCATTTGTTTTCATTTTAAATCAATGTCAAAGCACTTATTTATCCATCTAATCTCATTTTAAGACGCATTACTGAATATTTAAAATGACATGCTTTTACTTATGTTGCTTTTTTTCTAGGTAAATAGTCTTGCACTCCTGTGTAGCCCTACTCTGCATCCAGATATCCTTCTGAATCAAGGGATTGAATTCATACATGGGAAATTTTAGCTTTGGCGGGGTCTCAGACAGCTCTTGTGTTATAAGCAGGACATCCATCTTTCAGTCAAACACCGTGAACCTGATTTTTTTAGGAGAACAGTTTTCCAGGCACTCACCGGACAGCAGCATGGGGTCTTTCTCCATAGACTTGCGAACCTGGTCAGATTCTCCTGTCAGAGAGCTCTCGTCAATCTTCAGGTCGTTGCCTTGGATCAGGATACCATCAGCAGGCAGCAGGTCTCCTGCAAGCAGATCGATCAGATGGGTCAGAATCTTTTTCCCCCATCAGCCACAGGGTTTGAACAGGATCTCACACAGAGTCCTTTTAAATTTAAATTTTGTATTGTAAAGCAGCTCCACAAAGGTTGTTGCTGTAGTCATAAAAGCTTGACAGTTAAACATCACATGAAATAACCAATAACAATGTTTGAGTTTCATACCGTATTTGATCTGAGCGATGTCTCCAACCACGATCTCGGCCACAGGGATCTGGATGACCTGACCTTTGCGGATGACTGTGAACTTTTGTTCTTGCTCGATGCGACTCTGCAGCCCGCGGAACTGCTTCTCCTTGGACCAATCGTTGAAGGCCGTCACCAGGACCACAATGATGACTGAGAACAAGATGGCAGCGCCTTCGATCCAGCCAGCCTGGGCCTCGCCCTCGTCCTCTACGCCACCCGAAGTTGCGCCGCATGCTGTGAAAGCATGAGGACATGTTGAAATCAAATCCCATCATAACAGCAAAGACAGGTGGCGAGATGGAGAGCTCTTATTGGAAAGGTTAGGCAATAATGGCTGACTGTGTAATGATTTAATGAACAGGTAAGGCAAGAAGCTCTAAGCTGTGATGGGGTTTAACCCTCTCAAGCCCGAATTAAGTTTTTTGTTGCTAATGCACAACCAAGTCCTGCAGTGGTACTTCTGAGTAAAAAAAACCTCATAAAATATGTATGTGGGGTAATCAGGTTGTTATGTCTTAACTGTTGCAAATCTGCAACGTCTGCCTGGAGAGGGTTAAGATGACATATGGTATTGTATTGTGCATTTAAAGTGGGAATCCTGAAATTCCAAGTTTCCAGTTGCAATTTTCATCTGGATGCTCTCTCAATTCAGACTTTCTACTTAGAATTTGGAGACGCAACAAAAAACCCACATCTGAATTCTTAAATTGCTGTGACAACCATAGACCAGTGGAATATGCTCCACTCAGGCATAACATCATCACATTATAATTTTTTCTCTTTTGGATTTTTATGAAGGCACAACACAACATTGCACAACAACTGTATCTCAGTTATCCTGCTTTAATAATTGTAAAATCATTAAAATTTAATTAATTGCTCAGCCGTCTTTCAAATTAGCAAAAAGCAAAAATGACCTGTATCCTTCAGTCAGGAATACTGTCAAAAGCTAAACAAATACTTTACTTAAACAACTTTATTTACAGTACATATAATATATACATCCCCATATAAATAATAACATAAATTACAATATAAACCAACTACCTACATATATCAGAATACTGAAAATAAATAATAATAATTAATAAATACATGTTACTTTTGGAATAGATGCAGTCATTGTGGGACGTGCAAAGGTTTGGGCTTTCAGTAACCCCTATGGGATTATCACAGCTTGGAAAACCTTAACCTTTAATCAGCTGAAAAAGTTTCTTCTCCTAATTTGTCATCTTTCAGAAATTCGTGACTAGCAGATAATTTCCTGTTTCTAGATATTTTTAGACTCCCTTGCATGCAAAGCATCTTCACAATCCACAAACATACTGCTCCCTTTTTCAGCAAACAGAGCTTTGATAATTAAGGCCAACCAAACATATTTTATCTCAGTCTGCACACAGCAGCTGTTACTCTGATCCAAATGCTGCTTTGCTGACCACACAGACTGACTTTTGTGACGCAGCAGCAGGTGAGGTTTTTCCTTTGATGTGGGCCCTGATTGTGAATGAACCCCACGCAGCGAAACAGTGCAGCATCACTTCTGTGTCAGCTAAACATTCCCGTTGCTGCTCCTCTGCAGACATCTTGTTTCGATTCCTGGCGCTCCCATCAACCACCACTACTGAATGACATTTTAGACAGCAGGCTGGAAGTGCTCTGATTTCCTTTTATAGCCTTCCCTGCTTCGTAGGCATCAGCTTCATTTTCAGATTCTCACTCACTTGATTAGAGGAGCCCGTGAATGTGTGAGTGTTACCACGAGGCTTAAAGACTCAGATAATTTATCAGGCTCTGAATTGTCATCAAGTGACAATTCCTGATGGCAGTTCTTAACCTCTCTTAGCCAACTCAATTAAGGCTCACCGAGCTAATGAAGTTCTTGCCACAATTATAGTTTCATTATTTGCATGACATAAAACGTATCTGCATGTAAACACTTGAAGAAAGTCACGTTTAGATGTTTGTTTGCTGCACCAGTTTATTTTTTTACTTCATTTTAATGCAAAAATTGACAAACTAGCCCAGTAACTACTGACATTTTTAAACAAATCAATGATCAGATTTCTTGTTTTATAAAAGTGGATTACGTAAAAATGAAAGTAAATAAATCCACTTATAATTTACCCAGAAAAACATACCTGATAAAAGCATGTAATTAAAATAAACAACATGGATATAGAAAAAAAATACAGGTGGCCGCTGGTGCTACCCGTCAGCCCCTTAGTAGATACATGTATGGTATTCATTTGAAACTCCCATGTCGCCTCCTTTCACAAGATTTCACAAACTTGAGTGTCCACATCAAGTTCTAGTATTTTATAACAGTGCTCTAATTAATCTGCATCTGTGCATGACACCCATTCAGCTGTGACCAACCCAGCCAGTCAGCTGATTGCTGGGCTTGCCTTTTTCAGGTGTTTAACCCATGTTGCCTTCCACCTCACAAAGGAAATGATTTCACTTCCTGGGAGTCTAATAAAACGGTGGTTTTCTCCTCCAAGTTAGCTTCACTTGCTTTGGTTAATGTTGGAGTTCCCTCTATTTTAAGCCACGGGTAGTTTTGTCTTAGCAGTTATTTGATTTCTTAACTAATTTAACTTAATTCGTTTAAAATAATAAAATTATCCAGAGAAAAACTCCAAAAACCAGACGACACGCTGCAAACAAGCGCTTGGCGACAGTGGGAAGGAAAACTCCACTGGAGAAACAACCCTCTTTCTTATGTCTATGTGTGCAGCTTGGTATACTGATAACTTAGCACTGCCACCTCTCCATATATGTTCATCTCTGGCTCTGAAAAACCACCAGCTGGCAGCAGCTAAAATGCTCAGGTTGAATCTTCAGTGTACCGAAAGCAATGGGTAAAGACACAGAGTCTACGACGATCTACACTGACCTTCACTGTCACCGCCAGGTGGATGGTAGAAAGACAGACCCAGTGAGATGATTGCAGCGATTTCCAGAATGATAAGCGTGACGTCCTGCAGAGCTTCCCACACCAGCTGCAGGAATGTCTTGGGCTTCTTTGGGGGGATAAAGTTCTGTCCAAATGCCGTGTGACGTTTTTCCAAATCGACAGGGTTACCAGACAGACCTGCAGACACAACCGAAAGGTCATGAATATTGACATCAACATTAGTTATTTTTCTTTAGTAAAACAGTAATTGTTCTGACAGGTGGATGGAAACTTGGAGAAATGAATCCAGCAACATGACAAAGAGTGCAGACATACAGACACAGTTACAAAGAACAAGGACTTTTCTATATCAATTTATTTTAGTTTTTGCACTTTTTTTAAGGCTTGGATTTTATTTTATTTCTGTTAACTGAAATTATTTAATATCTTAAAGAACTGTGCAGAGATATACCTTTACTCCGTTTTCAGTATTTCTGTGACGTCTCTCTGTGTGTACCTGTGTTGCAGGTGAATGAGTGTTGCAGTCAGACTGAAGTGTGTTGCTGTGTTAATATTTAGTTAGAGCAATGCTGTTTATAGTGCTAAAGTTCACTGGCCCTAAATATCTCAATGAATTTGAAATATAACTATTACAATCTTGTTCTGCAAGACATGCTTTTTCCACCACAGCTTATCAGCAGCAGCAATAGCAGCTGTGTATAAGGGTCAAAGGCTAACTCCTGTCTTCAAACTTTATTATGTTAACTCACCACACAGGGCAGAAGATGTACTTTAGTAATAGAAAGTCACGATCAGCCCCCTTTTGCTGCAGACTGCAGCATTTCCACACACAGTACTTATTTGAGCAATTCACCAAAACAGACCTGTTCCACCCAGAAACCATCTGCAATGACATACTCATCATTTCCGCCACAAAAAAAATGACCTAAAGGTCAGAAATCTGGTACACTCAGGTTCAGCTACAAAGATTGGAAAAATAAATCCCCTGATCAAGAGTGAATTATAAGCAGCTGTGATGGGGTGTGTTGTTTTATAAGTTTCAGTGACGATTCCTGAACGTTTCTTTTTGTTTCGCTTTGTTTTGTAACAGCGGCTGAACTTTTGTGGCTTGCGACCTCTAAAACAACCCTTCATTCCAAGTTACAACCGTCTACGGGCTGCAATTAGTTCAACCAATGAGAAATGATGTAATTAACTTTTAGAGGGTGATGAACTGAAAATCACAGGAAACCTAAATATTAGCGGAAAGCAGATAGAAAGCAGTCATCCTGCCACCCTTCAGCTTTATTCTGTGGCCCCTCGTGTTGATCACTGTCACCGGGTCAGGGGCCTCCACTGTGTGCGTGTGTGTGTGTTTGTGTGTGTGTGTGCGGCAGCGATGAAACCAAAGCAGCCTGAACTGACCCAAGTTCCCCTCCCGCTGAACACGCAATCTGCTGCTCCACCAGAGCCAATCTGCTCCACGTCAACACAGCACCACCCGTTCAGACCAGCCCAGTCTGGATGAGTTGCTCACAGGAAACTAATGAACCATCCGGCTAATCAAATTTGAAATCTAAATGAACAAATTGACAGATGATACACATTTTATACTGCAGCAATCATGATTTAAGGCTTATCAAAACCTTAAACTAAAGCTGGAGCCTGTCCCAGCCGACACTGGGCAAGAGGCAGCAGACTGTGGACAAGTTGGCAGTCAACTGCATGTCTAGAATCATCAATTAACCTGACAGGGAGAGCACGCAAACACAAGTTACAGTCTCGGTCGTTGTGTCCTTGGGCAAGACCCGTTGTTTACTGGTGGTGGTCAGAGGGCCTGGTGGCGCCGGTGTCTGGCAGCCTCGCCTCTGTCAGTGCGCCCCAGGGTGGCTGTAGCTAAGATGTAGCTTGCCATCATCAGTGTGTGTGAATGGGTGGATGACTGGATGTGTAAAGCGCTTTGGGGTCCTTAGGGACTAGTAAAGCGCTATACAAATACAGGCCATTTACCATTCAACCAGTTTAAGGTGAAAAAACTACTGGTGGACTAAAGTGGGTGGGTTTTTGTGTCTAAAGGAGCGTTCCAACAGGAAGAGACTGACCAGACTATTAAAGGTCCACAAATTTCAGCAAATTTTGAGATTAGCACCTGAAACAACTACCAATGAGAGCGAAGGATAATACTGACTGAACTTGTTAAATCTCTCCAAAGAGTCCTGGGTCTACCCCGGGGCTTTCTTCCGGTAAGACAGGCTCAGAATACCTCACCTAGAAGCCATCCTGGAGGCCTCCTAGTCAAATGTCTGAATCACCTCAACTGGCTCCTTTTGATGTGGAGGAGCAGCAGCTGCACGCCGAGGCCCTCTCGAATGGCTCCACACCCCATCTCTAAGGGAGAAGGAAACCCATTGTTGCCGCTTGTAATGGGTGGCAGTCAGAGGCGGAGGAATGTACAAGGAATGTCATCTTGCTTTACAGGAACATTTGCTCTATGTTGCAGTGTAAATGTTTATTCAGCACTGTTTTCTAGAAGGACTTTTCATAACGTTCACCTCAAAACAGTCTGAAAACACCTTCTGTAACTGCAGTCAAACCTCACCTTACTTAACCTTATTGTTTAAGAGTAAAACACTTTCCTTAAACACACCATTAGAACTTGCAGATGGTGTTTGCTATTTTTGTGGAAGCATCCCTTCTAGCAGAGTTGCATCAAATTTCTGCTAATGTCAGTCACTGGATTTCTCCAACTAATCAATGAGTTCACCGAATTGAAAAATGCCAATGTTTCTCCTCTTATCACTCTGCAGAGATTGCTCCCAAACCTCTGCTTACCGAGGAACAAACAATATCACTGAGTTATTGATTCCAGAACTGTGACTGTCATTTTCCAGCCGTGGCTCATATCTCGCTGCTCATTCATTCTCCATATAAAGATAGTACAAACAAAAAGATTTCCCAGTCGACCCAGATGCTCAGAAAGACGGAGACACCAGGGCTTCATCCATCTTCAGAGCTCCTTACTTGTGGTTTTATTGAAACTGGGCTTAAATTAGATTTTAAAAACACCAACTGCAGTTTGCTAATTAAAAATGGATAATCAGCAGCTTGTTTCAGTATTGATTTTCATTCACCGGAAGAATCTCAACAGTTAGCTCTTTAAAATCACGTGTTCTCGTTAACTTTAACTGGTGTTTGCTGCAACTTTAATGACACACACATACAACTGAATGGAAAAATAGTGTAACCACTTGTTTAATTATGTATTTTTCCACTAAAGTCTGATCATCAAAGACGTCCTCCTCATGGTCACGCGGGCACCAACATGGCTGCTGGGGATTCTTAGAGAAATCGGGAGGTATGCAGTGGAACGTGATCTGAATGTTAACAGACCCCACTGCCAGGATCTCTCATGAAGACAGCCTCCAAGTCAGCATGAACATGAGCTCAGCCATGTCTCTGCCATCACATGTTTTAATAACGGACTCTTATTCTCGCTCTCTCTGATGATGCTGTCCAGACGGACCGAAAAAAAAAAAAAAAGAGTTCCTCCTCTCCTCCTCGTGAATTCTCCCCCGTCTGTCACACTCCTCTTTGGATGCAGTAATGAGGTGAAACTATGAGACACTAGCTTCTGCCATTTTGAGGGTTTGCCTACACACAGCACACACAGATGTACTAGTTTCATGCCATCTAATCTTAATTGGACAGCTTCAGCGGCAGAAATATTCCACATCAAGGCTGACCGAGATAAGGTGAGAGATTAGATGTGGTAAAGGAGAGATGAGAGGAGGGCAAATAAGGTGAGGGAAGAAGAGATGGGGTGTGGATGGTGTAATGATATAAGGTTAGATGGAATAAAATAAGGAGAAAGGACACAAGGCGAGATAAGAAGAGACAAGTTGAGATTAAATAAGTTCAGTGAGATCAATGAGATGTGAGGCGGCTTAAGACAGTAGAGGTGAAATGTGATTAAAGAAAATTAAAGTAAGGTGATCCTACGGCATATTCACACCAAACCCAATCAAAACCTATGCAAAGACACAAAGTAGGGGATGTGCGTAGAAGTGAATCTGTGTGTGGATGTTAAATATATCACATTTTCACTCTGTGTCTCAAAAATCTATCAGCAGACACTGGCTGTCCCACAGACAGTGGATGCTCCTGAGCCCACTGACAGTACAAGTATCTGTAGCTAAACTCATCGTTTCCAACAGGTCAGAGATTGACTGCGATCTGGTAGTGAATCAACTAAGTGAGCTGACTTTATACTATCATACCTTAAATAGCATGAGCTAATTCTGAATCAAGTAAGCTGATCTGAAAACATAAACTTTGACAATTAAAAAAATATTTGAATATTAACTCATTCACTGCCAGCCATTGGCAGTGAATGAGTTAAACCCATTGACTCATTCACTGCCATTGACGGCTATAGACGTCAATGGCAGTGAATGAGTTAATATTAATACTAACAAATTGTAAATTGTTATCATTGGACTCACGCTTTGCATAATTCACAGTTCAAAATCACCCTTTTTTAAAATCTCCATCAGCTTCGGTACTAGGGCTGGGCGATATATCGAGTTTTTTAAAAATATCGATGTATTTTCATACGAGATATAAGATGTGACAATATCGTTTATATCGATATAGTCTATGTTACGTTATAATTATACTCGTGGAGCCGCAGGTTTGCCTCTCTTTCGTCCACTTTTGTCTCTACATAACGTTACTCGGCCTCGCCTCTCCTTCACTGAACACAACTCCGCCTCCCCTATAGCTTCACCTGCAGGCAATGACAAGATGAAAGCGGAAAATCTCCGTTAGCGAGTTACCGTGCGTGGGGCTGGACGGCGTCAACGTGTTAGCGAGCTAACTGCGCTAACGAGCTAACCGCGCTAACGACATGCAGCCCGGAGGGGCTGCACGGCCTAAAATCCTTTCATTTTCTCAAAACTTGACAGCGCGCCTTATGTATGAATTCTGGTTGTGCTTACTGACCGCGAGCCGATTTTATGTGGTACACAGCGCTCGGCAATCTGTCAAAAAATGTTTTAATATGACTTTGCTAAGCTACGGAGCTGCACCGCTTGATGGATTGTCTTGGAGGATTACGGCTACCGGGGAGGAGCCTCGCGGAGTGATATGTACTGTGCTTCAACGTAATATTACCGTACTGTGTGTGTATAAGGACCACA